CCTGTAACTCTTAAAGTCGATTTGGATCTGGCCTAATCTCATCTGAACTAAGAACATATCCTAAAAATAGCATTTCCGATCTCAAGAACTTACACTTTTTATAATTCAAAGAACACCCTGCTTCTCTTAAAACTGTAAAAACCATATTTAAATTTTCTACATGTTATTCAAAAGAAAAATAAAAAATTAAAATATCGTTAATAAAACTATCAGAGAAATTATTACATTGAATTAACACACCTAACAAACGCAAAAACACTTGTAGACAAACCAAAAGGAAGCCCACGGAAACAATAAATCCTTCTATCAAAATTAAAACTAGTATATTTCCAAGATTCTAGAGTGACGAGAACTACTAGTAAAGTCTAAAGTTGACACACATTTGGTGGATCCAACACGACGTAATTTTTTTTCCGTTGGTACCGGTGTATCGTGTTCTTTTTTCATTAGAGAATTCAAGTACCTAGCATCTAGACATAACCTAACACTATTATCTTTCTTTAATGTAGCCATTAGAGAAGAAATATATGGCGTAGGCATTTGTTTGATAACTCCTAAACTTGCCATCCTCTTCAATTCTTTTTTGACTACCAGCCGGTGTGCCTCTGGGATAGGATACTGTTTTTGACAAAATTATCTATTATCCCTAAGGAATATTTTATGAGAAAAATTGGCGATAATATCTAGTTTTTTAAAAAAATGTTCCCAAATTACGTTATAATTCCTGCATTCTTTGATGGTTGTCCCCTTTAATACCCTGGGCAATTATAATTCCAGTGTTCTGAACTGTTTGTAGTATTTAGATATGGATTCTTTATAGTTAAATTTTTGATTTAACAAGAATCTAGGTTACCATATTTGCAACCAGGATGTACATCCAGAATTTTTACTCATGCATTTTTCGGTTCTATCAAAAACATTCTGTGCTCAGTATCTATTTTTGATGGAGCACTTGTAAAAAATCAACTCCCAAAATCACTTGAATTAATAAATCCGGTATTACTAAAAATTCATGACGATAATCGTGCTCTACTATCTTAAAATTAATCAAAGATTGATGTCAAACTTTTCTTTCTCTGCTTTTGAATGTTACGTTACTGTAACCCTCGTGCACGTTAATGTAAGAATTCTACTAACGCTAACATCCCCCAAACTTTCTCGTCAAGTGCACAAACTTCACTCCCCGTATCGAGTAAGGCATTAAAAAATAAACAAAAATATCAATTTTACAACAGTTGATTGCCATTCTTATTGCAATCTTCACCGTTGCATTCTAATAAACAAATCATCCCTAATATTACTTAAATTACTAATTTACCTTTCGAAATCCAATCCCAATGACGGACCTATTCCTGAGGTTGATTTTCATTTTCCAGCTGATCTATATTATCGAGATTAAGCGCCACTACTTTTACTTCCGACTATATCTTCTGGCCCGTTTTTATCAATTTTTTAAAAATTACTACCATAAGTATTGGTTTACAACCCAGAAGTCTTTTCAAAATAAGAGGCTGCGTGTTTTAGTTTATCTAACGCTAACTTGATCCTTTCCAACCCTATCACCGTATTATAAATATTTGGAGAAAAAAGTCTAGGTATTCTCTGAATAATTCGAATTTTTGACATTGAAGGGTTTGGGTGTTTACTTAAATTCGTAGCCTTTCTCTTACCTCTTCCTAAATATCCTCATGCCAAAACTGATTAATAAACCCTTCTTTAAAATTAAAAGAACGTTTAAAATAGTTCAAAAGTTTGACACCCTAATAAAGCTTCTCCCTTAAATTATTAGTACATTAAGAATTTATAGTACTCGAAAGAAACTTTATTAATTTTAAACGCATATTCTAACTTATTTACAAAATCTACAGGGTGAATATTGCCCTGATTATCAAATAACGGCAACTTCTTACTTGCCTTTAGGCTAAAGTCGCTTTCATTATCCCTAATAGGCGCTTCTCTCCATTATTGTTGTGATTTGGATTTAACTGTTGCATTCTAGAAATCAGTTGATCAACAATAGTGGTAATCTCTACATCTTGTTTTGAATAAAACACACTCTGAACAGCATTTTCAATGTTTATCCCCGAATGTGCTGTATTCTTGTTAGTACCAACTAGCTTATCTATTTTAAAAACTTCTATATTGCTTTCTGTCACTTTAATGTCACTGTCACCTGCATTTTTCTTGTCTAGAATATCTGCTCACGTAAAGGGATCTCTTTCGTGGTTTTGCTACAGGGAAGATGATACTGAATCCCCTACAGTCTATGGCATTGTTTCCTGTAGCTATTTCAGTATTTAGTTTAACCATTCCAGTGCTTCTTTTTCTTATTATTATTACTATTATTATTATTTTTTCAAAATATTTTTCATATTATTGGAAATTTTAAATATCTACATGTATTTTAATATTTTCCTGTAAAATGTAGATATCATTGACGGAAAGTAATTTAATATAGAATGTAAATCAATATGTTGTTGGCGTTAAAAAAATATAATTTTCCTGACTGGCCAAGAAGTTTTAAATATCAAAAGTATTAAGTACCTACATATCTTTATAAAAATAATCTGCAGAAATTAATTATTAAAATTAATTTTTTCCCATTTTGATCTACAAGAGTATTTATTTTTTTTTACTATATGCTGAAAAATACATCAAAACTATAAGCAATATTTATTTAAACATATTTAAAATAAATACATTTATAGGCTCCAAAATCAAACAGAAAAAAAAAACCTTACTGCGTAATAGACGAAACAATTATGTTTATTTGTTTATTTTAATCTATATAAAAATAGGCAAAGACAAAATGGTACCATTTTCTGTTTTCTTTGTGAACCGATTTCCTCTTTTAATTTCGAACCTACATGAACAATATTACATAGACGGATAGAGGATCGCGAAAAAAGAAAAATAATATTCTCCACCACTTCTCGAACTTCTACCCTTCTTCTTCTGCCACGCCAAAATGGCAAGAAATAAAAAAAAACTAAAAGAGGGGCCATGGGCCCCGCCTGAATCAGTTTCCGCGTCAAATTTTCTTTAACTCCCACTTCAGTGGAAGTCGATATATAGAACCTATAGACTTAGGAAAATGAACTTCGTTAATAGATTGGACTTTAAAAAGAAAAAAAAATACTCCCCAAAGGAAAAGTCACTTTATTCTCTTCTAAATGTAGGTTGGGGTGAACTCGCCCCCCCCCCTAAGTGTAAGTGGGGATAACAGTTTTTTAATAATTGGAGTATTTTGAGATATTGGTGCTCTAGATAATTAAACAAATTGAAAATTTCGAAAAGAAGGCAGACCTCCTTCCCCACCCTTTTTATACCTTTTCTTTGTTGTTAATTATTATTTTTGATATGGTTCATAACAGAGTGAGGTCGAATATACTAAATACTACTTTCTAACGTATTTTTTTAGCTAGTTTTAACTAAATGTTAAAATTTTTATAAAATAATATGTTTTTTTTATATTATTTTCTTGTTTATAGTTAACGTTTATTTTTTATTTCGCTTAATACTATATTTAAACCTATAGTTGATTTTTTTGGCAATTAATACTTATTTTATCAACATTATTTTAAGTTACATAAAAATCGTATTCAAAACATTTGTAAAAGTTTTTATGTAAATAAAAGTTAATAGTTTTGTTAAATATACGTATATTATTAACGTTAGTTTAAATTAAATACATGTCCTGTAGAAAACGTTCGTATATTCGTACCTTTTAACGTTTGGTTAATAATGTAAATTAGATATCTACGTTATTTTAATATTGTTTATTTAATTATATTTTAATATAATTTTAAAACGTTATGTAATTGTGGTTCTACCGAGAGTTGAAAATTTTGTTTAATATACGTTTAATAGTAACGCTAGTTTAACTTACATAAAAGTCGTAATAAACCGTTATTGTATTAGAAAACTTAAACGTCTCGTTTATATTTTTAACTAAAATAAATGTTATTTTAATATTAGTTAATTAACTATATTTTATTATTTTTTAACGTTTTTATGTAACGGAAAGTTATAAAATTTTGTTAAATAATATTAACGTTAATTTAAATTAAATATAATTCATATAGAGTGGGCCGTACAATAGGCAGTTAAAATGAAATCTTAGTTTACACTGTAAACCTCGTTGTATAATCATCGGTTATTGTTAAGGTGATTACAGCACCACCTTATAATTTTCGGACAAGGATATCTGAAAAAGTAATTTTTTAAAAACTAAAATTTTGGCAAAATATTTAAGCCAATAATGGGGTCTATTCTGTAACAATTCCTTTATATTTAACGGCCTTTTAAAATATTTTCTCCTTTAGTTCTGTCATTATTTAAACGGATCTTTAAAATACATTAGAGTAATACCTTAAAGAAATCTGTTTAAATAATGACAGAAGTAAATTAACGAATACTTTTAAAGGCCGTCAATATTTTTAAAGGCCGTTAAATATAAAGGAATTTTTACAGAATAGACTCCAATATCTATAATATGCATATATTTTAAAGTTTTAATCCTTTCAGTTTCCGAGAAAAAAAAGGGCTTTAAATTTTGAAATATATTGAAAATAAATGCATTCCTCAACAGCACTATTCTTAATGTAATCCCTAAATATGAGCTCTTAATGTGTTGTTAATGATTTTTTAAAATTCACCAAAATTAGTGGCTAAAACGCCTCATTAAGTGTTGCCTTCTGTTGGAACGCGACTGTGCAAAAGCCTACTTTGGATAGTGATCGTAGAAAAACAATTTTTTTTTCACATATCATTTTCAAATATCTTAAATTATATCAAAAAGTTTTGTATTTTTTTGATTTGAATGTCTATTTTATTGGACTATGTCTAGTCTCAGTTTATAAGAAAAAATAATGTACAATTAGAATTTAATGAAGCAATAATGAAAATTAGTAAAATTAATTTTAAATTTCTTCTTACAGACTCCAGAAGAAGGTGCACAAACTCAGATCCACACCGTTTGTGAACAAGGAATTGAACATCTTTCTGGTAGCCATTTCGAATACTGTCATGCTATAAAGCCGTACAAAGCAGCAATAAATTTTGATTTGGCCGAAACAGTTTGGAAGGAAACTCTGAAATTTATCAAATATGATGAAATAAAATGATGCTTAATTTTTTTCTAATAATAAATTTATATGTAAAAATAAAAACAATGCAAAAAACTAATTTTTTCTATACCCATATGGATAGTAGCTTATCTACTCACAGACTACAAAACTAAAAGTATGCTGTTACGTTCAACTGATTGAATATATTTCTTACCAATTCTAGGTAGTGAGAACACTGCAAAAATATGAAATCCACTAATCAGTCATATTTTGGTCACCCGACCACTATTATTTTAAAAATTTTATTTAACTGAATACTGTTATTTCCATTGAATATACATTAAACGGAGTTATTCTTAGATAGAATCGATAAATAATAGCATTTCTATTTTTATTTCGTTTATAATTAAAAATAATTCGTTCATTTTAATAACACTATTGTAACATTTTAAAAGTCCAATTAAAAATGGTATTTTAAATATGTGACATCCTGTATAAATAGTTTTCGATTAATTTAAATTCAATTATCGCCACACGCAATATTTCAAAAAAAGGGAAATTTCTTGAAGTGGGAGTACAGTAAACCAAACTAATCCGCTATTAGATTTTTAAATTTCATTTATGATTACTATCTCTTCATATCTGGTGGTGTTTGGCTGTAAAAGTTGGACGCATAAAAAAGTATAATGTCATTGTAAAAATATCGCGGTAGACAGTTAAAACTCACAAACTAAAATCTAAAAGTTACAAGGAAGAACGAGAACAAAGAACGAGGTATGCTGTTCATGCTCGATTAGCAGAAATATGGGAAATGCGAGATTTGTTGTTGGTTCCCGAGTCGTAGAATTTTCGACTGCCTCCTAAAGAAGTTGCCAGCCAAAAGCAAATGTGGTAACTAATAGTGGCTAATTTTATTTATGACGAGATAAAAGTTAATTTACCTGATAAACTTTAAATGACTTGTTCCTGAACAGTTTCTTTTTTTATCTAAATAAACTAATTCATTTTTATAAGTATATATGTTGAATCTTATTTTTTAAAGATTACAACAATTCTCTTTTACTCAAATTAAATTTTGTATAAGTTTTTATTAACTTCTTTTTTGATAAAGCTAGAGTTTATAATTCTCACTAGCTTTCAAAAATAAAAAAAGAGAATTATTGGTCCCCAACATTCCTGGAAAATTATTACCCCAAAAGTGTCTATTAGAAAAGCCGAATTCACGACTGAGAAAAATATGGTCAATGTGCTCATTTATTTCTTTTAAACTGAAAAAATTGTACTGGTATAAACCACACATATATAAGATAAAGGTGAGGTAGAGAATAGTAAATACTCAGATTACTAAGTATCATGTGTAACGAAAAAAAAAAAGAGGAAAACAAACTGAAAATTTTTAAGGTACATAAAATAAAGGGACTTTAGACACATATTTAGTTATTTAATAAAGCTTCCAAAATAGGAAGAGGTTGATAAACTTACAACTAAGACTTAATTAATACTAAAATTGTTTAGAAAACAATTGAAATTTTTACCTTAGCCCTTAAAGACTAAATATTTACAACTTAAACCAGGAAGATTTACTACTTTAGTTTTTGAGTGCTTGTTAAAAAAAAATAAATTGATTTTAATACATAGAAAAAAGAGACTTGAGACACATCTTTAGTTATTTAGTGATGCTCCCAAAAAAAAAAGAAGTGGTTGTTGAACTTACAAACTAAGAACTATTATTAAAATAAAAAAATTATAAAGACAATTGAAATTTTGAGTGTAGCCCTTAAAGACTAAAGATTTATAACTTTGTTTAAGAAAATTTTGATTAAAATGAAAAATGGATTATAAATTTTAATCTGCACTCTTATACCATACAAATGTCACAAAAAATTGATTTTAAATTTAAATATGCACTATTATACCATACAAAAGTCACAATCAGGGAAAGATAAGATACAGGTAAATAAAGGTAGGTAAGGTAATGTAAGGTAAGCTAGAAAGAATGATCATTTGCATATATCATAACTAAGTAACGGTGAACCAATTCAAATCAAAGGTAAATATCTTGATATTCAAAAAACATAGTACATTTTGTACTAAAGGTAAACATAATATTATTAAACGATAAATAAAACATTCACTCAACTAGTGAATAAAAATATATAATAATATTATACAAGATAATTTATGAAAATCAAGATAAATAATGTACACACATCAGTGAGTACATCAGGCAAGGTATACGAAACATCTTCGTAATGCTGTAAATCAGCAAAGGTACATACAAAGCAGAAAAGTTAGGTAAGAAAAATATAGTAATGCAAGTTATCTGTTAACCTAAAGTTAACTCAAATATGAAATTTTGCAATATTCAACTAAATTCTTTTCAATACAAAATGAAAACAGAGGTATCAAAAGATATTGCTAAAAGCATAAATTCTCAAATTATAATTGAAAAAAGAATAAAGATATACAAACTTTTACTACTTGTATTAAAATATAATTCAAAGTTGGTTCGGAATCAATTAGTTATATAATAGTGAGGTACTTAACCATATAAAGAAAAAACATAAAATGCTAGATAATATAGTTCAAAGTCAATTTAGGTATTTTTAATACTGAATTTAAGGGAAAGGTAATGTTCAAACAAATTAAAATATTACTCAAATTTAATAACAAAATATAAATTTACTACCAATCAAGAGAAAAAAAGAAAAAATCTAATATATCCCAACTAACAAAGTAACTTTATAATTTTTAGTTTATAAGACTATTATATTTTATTGATATTATATTGCTGTGTCTGGAATGCTAATTTATTGTATTACAGTTGCAGAAATCACCATTTTGTTCTCTGAAACTAAATTTATAAAATTAGTTTTTACAATATTCTTACAGCCAAATTATAAAATAGTTTTCACGATAACTATAAAATTGTTACGTAAACATTTATACAACTGTTCTATACAATATTTCAGCTTATAAAATTAAATTGCTTTATAGTTATTCTATATTATTGTTCTGGATTACCTTTAGAACTTTTTGGTTATACAAATATAACTGTTTCTTAACCTCATAATAACGCTTTAAAAAATAGTTATATAAATATTAGTGTGAGATAATTCCGCATCAATAGCAATTTGCTTCTGATGAAAAGTCTAAAATAACTATAATATATTGTCGAAATACACTATTACAAATCAGAAAACTGTATAGCAATTATTTTAGTTAAGAATAGTATTATCACTATAAAAATATTTATAAAAAAAAAAATAAAGCAACTACATTTGGTAGTACCTACGCCAGATTATTTTGTATTTTATGTTCGTTCAACTACTTCCCATACCAATTGTATGTGAGTGTATGGTCTGAAAATGTCAGATTTAAATAGTAAAGAAATATAAAAAAAAGTGGTACCTGCTTTTCAGAGAACAGTAAAAAATATTAGTAAAACATTTTGCTGGTTTGTCTAGACACTCAAAAAAAAAACTATCATTCAGCCAGATAATAATTAGGTATGTTCTGAATAATCATGCCCCAATACTAAAAGAAAGCCATATTTTTGGCGATGTCCATGTTAAACTTGCTTATTCTCGTAATATTAAAAATTATGCATGCTCTATAAAGCTGTAGAAACAAATCTAATCATTTCAGTTCTCAAATACTTAAATCGGAAATGATTTAGTAAGGTTATGTTATATTTTGTCATATAGTACAGCAATATGAAACTATTATACAACAAACCATGATGAACTTGTTTTGTAGAAATGAGTAATACAACTTAATTATTGTATTACAGCTCTTTTTACTACAATAATATTTTATAATTATGATTCAGTCTTAAAATAACTTTCTAATACCTCTGAATAGCCGCCATATTTAACAAAAACCTAAGACAGTTTTAAAGCTAAATCTACTGTCGGTTTTACTAGTATTTAAGACAAAACCAATGTTAATTAAAGATTTTAATCATTAGTAATATTAGCATAATCTTATTACTAAAAAAAAAATCAAATTGCATTAATTTAATTTTTGTTTCACACTGAAAAAGTATTAGAAATATGAATCAAACTCGAGGCGCTTAAAAATTTAGTATTTATTCTATGTGCTATATAATTAACAGTAATTCTTGCTGCGTATCCAAAAACGCTTTATTGTAGGTCATACATTATGTCTAAACCGCGTCATAGATATCTCTTAAGTAGATACTGCCATTTTACTAATATCGCCTTAAATTTACTTTCATGACAAATATAGAATTAATTTGTTTTCACCAGATATATTTAAAAAACTAAAATGTTACTGATTTTGATATGCAACCTAACCTCAAAATTGAAAATTTATAAAACAATTATAAAAGTTTAAAAAAACATTTGTTTAAAGTCTGTGTAAATGTGTAGTAACTGTTCGGTAACTGCATTCAACAAATCTTATAGAATTTACAAAAGAACCAAATAGTTCTGTAATACTGCGCCCATTTTGTGTTTATTACTGTTGAAAGAATGTTCCGGAAATGTTCTTAGCTAATATTCTATTTTATAAATTTGGTTCTGTAAACATTTTTTCAGCTTTTATAAAATATCAAATTGTTACTTGGAATATTACCAAAATTTAAGGTAGCTGTTACAGACAGTATTGCTTTAAAAAATAAGCAGCAGTAGACAATTAAAAGTAAGATGGTAATGTCTGGTCTGACTCATAAATATTCCATTGGTGTAAAAGGAAACAATTGACTACAGACTGTATAACTTGGTCGAGTAGGTAATAGCAGAATAATAAAAAGCTTGATATAATATTCTGGCCTGACAGTATATATGAAAAATTTAATAATATTTTAACTTATTAAAAGGAACGGTATGGAAATCAAGACAATTGCAGAATATATTATTCACTGTTAGAGGTATCGTTATTAACGTTAGGTATGACTTCATTATCATCATCTTCAGATAAATGTAAAAAGCAAAATATATAATTAATTAAAGGCACAAAGTTTTATCACTAACCAAAAAATGTTTTACTCGATAGGCACAAAAATCAACTGTAGGTAAAAATCCAAAACTATACACTTTTATTAGTGTATAATGAATATATAGATATATCACTAGCAAAA